TAGTTGAGTTTCCCCTGCCATTTTTGTTTGTTTTTTAGTGAGAGTGACATTTTTGAAAGGTAGCATTCAGTTTGCCTAAAACCTTTTGGTTAGCTCTTGTACTAGACAGTAAGCTGTTTTAGAACAGGGAATATTGGTCATTTATCCCTGCTAATTAAATTTAATCTAAAGATTTTATGATAATTTGGGGATGCTGTGCTTCAGAAAAGGACAGTAAAAGGGAGGACTCAGTAATTCTTAATCCTTTTTTCTTTCGGTTAGACAAACATACCCAAGGAACCGTAAGGATCCTTGGGCCTCTTGTGTGACATTTCAGATAATACAGTGTCCATCGCTGGTATGTGCACTTTATAGTTTTTCATTATCAGTAATTGCGAGTAAAACACTAGGTTCTTCAGTTCTCTCGTTTGTAGAGTTAAAATATAGTATATGGTTTTATTGCTATCCAAGGGGAAAAATGGTTCATAATGGTTACAATAAAGGTAATTCATGAACAGAATATTTTTAACAATTTGGGTGTAGGAATATTCAATTTAAATTATTGTGGAATTCTTATGCAAATAAAACTTTTCTCATTCAAAACATCGTGGAACTCTGTATCATTATAGGATTAAGACTTCTGTTGAGTCACATGATTTGATTTCTTCTCCCTAGTTTCACTTTATTAATTTTTTTCTTTTTTTAAAAAGATTTTATTTATTTGGCAGAGAGCACAAGCAGGGGGCGTGGCAGAGGGAGAGGGAGAAGCAGGCTCCGCACTAAACAGAGAGCCAGATGCTGGGCTTAATCCCAGGACCCTGAGATCATGACCTGAGCCGAAGGCAGATGCTTAACCAACTGAGCCACCCAGGTGCCCCTCACTTTATTATTTTCCTTTGCAGCTTCACAAGTATCTCACTATGAAGCGCTCTGTTACTGTGTGTTAATTACACTTTAAAAGTAGCGCTTTAAGAATGTGGTGAAAGGAATATAATATACACTAGTAGGAATGCAGACTTTCTGAACTAAGCCTAGTAACTTTTTTAACAGCTTTGTTGAGATATAATTCATTTACTGTGCAATTTACCCCTTTAAAAATGTGCAGTTCATTGTGTGTTTTTTTTTAGTATATTCATGGATACATACAACCATCAGCACAGTTGTAGAACATTTTTTATCACCTCAAAAAAACCCCGATATTCTTTAGCTGTCATCCCCATTCCCCCCTCCCCCCACCCAACCCTAAGCAACCACTAATTTACTTTGCCTTAACTTTCCCTAGTCTAGATTTTCATATGAATGGAATCATTTGATATGTGCTCTGTTGTGACTTTTTTTACTTAGCAAATGTTTTCAAGCTTCATCTATACTGTAGCATGTATCAGTGCTTGATTCTTTTTTATGGCCAAGTAATATTCCATTGTATGGATATACCACATTTTGTTTATCCATTTATCATTTGGATATTTGGGTTGTTTCTACCTTTTGGCTTTATGAATAATGCTGCTGTACATTTGTGTCCAAGTTTTTGTGTATATTCATTTCTCTACATTATATACCAAGGAGTAGCATTCTGGGTCATATAGTAATTGTCTTTAATTGTTTGAGGAACTGCTTGTTTTTGAAAGCAACTGCACCATTTTATGTTCCCACCAGCAGTATATGAGGGTTCCGATTTCTCCACTTTCTTGCCATCACTTTTTTTAAAAAATCAAGTATAATTAACACATAGTGTTATATTGGTTTCAGGTATATAATGATTCAGCAATTCTATTTATTTCTCAGTGCTCATTGTCAGCAGGTTCTTCTGTCTGTATTAATATAGCCATCCTAGTAGGTGTGAAGTGGTGTCTCATTTTGGTTCTGATTTGTATTTCCCCATTAGCTAATGATGTTGAACTTTTCATGTGCTTATTGACTATTTGTGTATATAGTCTTTGAAGAAATGTCTGTTCAGATCTTTTGCCCATTTTTAAATTGTTTTTGCTCAGAAGTCAGCTGTTAATCTTATTGGGATTCCCTTGTAAGTGATGCGTTATATTTCTGCTTTTAAGATTTTCTCCTTTTTGCCTTTGAGCAGTTTTCCTATGATGTGTCTGTTTGTGGGTCTCTCTGTGTTTATCCTACTTGGAATTCATTAAGCTTCCTGAATGAGTAAGTTACTGCTTTTCAATAAATTTGAGAAGTTTTCAGCCATTATTTCTTAGAATATTTTTTTTTCTGCTCCTTTCCTGCTCTCCTCTCTCTCTGGTACCCCAATTAATGTGCATGGTGATGTACTTAGTTTCCCACATTTCTCTGAAGCTGTTTATTTTTTCTTCCATTTTCTCTCTGGTTTTCAGCTTGCATAATTTCTATTGGTTGTTTTCAGATTTGCTAATTATTTCTTCTGACAGCTTCACTTCTACTCTTGAGCCTCTCTAGTGCATTTTTTAAAAAAATTATTTATTTATTTATTTGAGAGCGAGAGAGAGAATGCCCTCATGTGCCCATGAGCCGGAGGGGCAGAGGGAAAGGGAGAGAGAATCCCAAGTAAACTCCGTGCTGAGCGCAGAGCCCAATACAGGGCTTGATCGCAGGTTCCTGAGATCACAACCTGAGCCAAAACCAAGAGTCAAATGCCCAACCGACTGAACCACCCAGGCGCCCCCATTTCTTATTTCAGTTATTGTGGTTTTCAACTCCAGAATTCCTTTTTCAAAATATGTATGATTTCTTTCTGTTGATATTCTTTATTTGATGCAACATTGTCAGTCACACCTTTCTTACTGCTTTAATTATGGTTTCCTTTGGCTCTGTGAACATATTTATAATGGCTATTTTGAAATATGTTTCTGTTAAATTCAACCTCTGGTCACTCTCAGGCAGTTTCTTTTGCCTCCTTTTTTCTTTTTCCTGGTATGTGGGTCATACATTTATATTTCTTTGCACGCCTCATGATTTTTTGTTGGAAACTGGTCATTTTAAATGATATATTGTTCCAACTCTGGATACTGATTTTTCATCGCAGTCTTGGGACTTGTTACTGCTATTTGCTTGTTTATTTGTTTAGTGACTGGATTATTTTAGTGAAGTCTGTTCTTTCTTTCCATTCCTCCAGCATCAAGCCCCTGGTGGTGGCTTTAAGGGAGACACAGCTTTAAGTCTGTAGTCACCCTGGGATGGCTGGTACTAACAGGGCTTTCTTTCCCTGACCAACCCAGCTGTTAAATTCCACTAATTGCCCAGATTGCTCTATTGTTTTCAACAATACCCTGAGGCTTAAATTCCTCCACAAACTAATCAGATCAAATTGGGGCTCCTTGGAAGGAAGAGTTTCTGAGGTCAGTGTTTGCTATTTTGTTCTGACCCCAGGAGGACTTCTCTCAAATGTCTGACTCTTGGGTTCTCTTCTGCAGACTAGCTCGCTTGCAGTGTAAGCTGTATGTTCATTACCTCCACAAATCTAATTGCCTTTTATCACAACTTCCACTGTTCTTGAGAATACCTTAGAGTTAAACTTATCCGTGCTCTTTTGGGAATATGAAGTCAAGTCTTTGGGGAAGAGATTTGGTAGCACGTGTTCTTGCCTTTTTCCTGAGGCAAAATGTGAGTCAGAGTTCTGGAGCTGGGGATGGGGACAATGGCAATCTTTTCTGAGTGACATTCTGGATCTGAGTGCTGGAGGGGGTGGGGGGATGGGAGTAGGGTGGGAGTGACGTGCATGCAGTAGCTTGCTTCTCCCCGTGTGGAACTACCACTGTCTCATAAGCTGGGCAGAAGAGCTGTTTGGGGCCCCGCTCTTCTCAGTGTGCCACACTTGAGGTATAGCTTGTGTTCCACAAGTGGAGGTTGTACACGGGGGAGCCCCTGCTTTTGATGTACTTGCCTGGGACTTAGTACAGGGCTGGAGACAGTCCTGCTCCTTGCAGGAAGAAAGCTCTTGGACTGAGAGCTGGGGGAAGAGAGCCCTGTGTTCTTGGCCTCAGCAAGAACTGGAACCTTGCTGAGATGGGAAAGGGGAAGAGTGAGAGTGGTCTCGGTTCAAATACCACAGACTTTGACCTTTCAGTCTGAATTTTCATAGATTTTTATTGAATAGTTGTTTTCTTCATTTACTCTTTCCCCTCAGGGACCATTTCCAGAGGCTTTGAATGGTTGTTTTTTAAAATAATTTTCACCAATTTCACTGAGGAGCGGGGCCAGAGAGCTCCTTGTACTGTGAGGCTAGTAGTCACTCTCTTGTAATTTTGTTGGCTAGTGGTTAGCTAGTGGTCATGTCTCCTTAAAGCATGACTCAGAAAAGCATTTCCTTCATTATGGTCCCTGACCACTCTTCATAAGAAACCCTTAACATGCTCCTTAACATATCAACTTTCAGATGATGCCTGTATGATACAGGAGACCAAGAGAATTTATTTCCCCTGCTATTTTCCTTAAAAAATGAATTCACTACATGTGGAAGTACTCTAGAAGGGAAAATTTCCACATGACTACAGAGTTGGTGAAGGAAAGGAAAATAGTAGTAACTAGAGAATTTTTTCAGATTTTTTTTTACACTTTTTTTTCCTTAAGATTTTATCTATTTGGCAGAGAGAGACAGAGAGCACATGAGCAGGAGGAGGGACAGAGGAAGAGGGAGAAGCAGACTCACTGCTGAGCAGGGAGCCCAACTCAGGGCTCTATCCCAGGATCCCAAGATCATGACCTGAGCTGAAGGCAGACGCTTAACCAACTGAGCCACCGAGGCGCCCCTTTAAGATTTTATTCTTGAGTAATCTCTACACCCACCATGGGGCTTGAACCTACAACCCTAAGATCAAGAGTCGCATGCTCTACCCACTGAGCCTAGAGAATTTTAACGTGAGGGCACCATAGTATAGTTGATTGAATTCTTTTCAAGTTGACGTGCAGGTGTTACAGTTAATTCTTGATTTCTTTGACCTGACTTACACATCAAAATAAGCAGGCCTTTCCTCAGTTTTGCTGTCATCTTAAATTAGTTTCTTTTCATTCCCTTTTTTTTTTTTTTTCCTTTCCAGGGGCCACTCAATAGTGAGTCTTCCAACCAGAGCTTGTGCAGCGTGGGGTCCTTGAGTGATAAAGAAGTAGAGGTAAGAGGCCACACCCACTGTGAGACTTTACATATTCCCACACTTCCAGTCTGGGTTCAAAGACGGCACTGCGTAACTCCAGGACACACTGATTTAGGATTTGTCTGTACCTTATATCTCCTTTTAAGTTCAATATTTTGTACATATGCTATAATTTTCATAATGTGAAAAATTTAACAAAATGCTAATTGTGATGTATATGGTATTTAACAGACTCCTGAGAAAAAACAGAATGACCAGCGAAACCGGAAAAGAAAAGCTGAACCATATGAAACTAGCCAAGGTAGTAATAATTTCACACCAATAAAAATATTAAATTCTTATGTACGTAGAATTTTCCGACTCACAGTAAATAATTAGTTTAGGTACAGGGATTCCTAACAAAGGAGATTTGTGTACCTTAAGGGAATACCAGGCTGTTTATTATAGACTTGCCATTTGATACACACCTGACAAAAGTGTCAATTCTCTGGGGACTCTCGTTTTCCCTGTTGTAAGTTAACGATCTTCTCACCACAGGTTTTTCTTCAGACTAAGCATGTATTATACAGAAAAGAGGTTACATTGGTGTTTTAACCATATCTTGCATTAGCTCAGTGATTTGTTAATAATAGGTAACCAGAAATGGTTTTATTTACATGGCTGTCTCTACCTCCTCTTCTTCTGTGGCAATTATTTAGTTGAACATTGGCACCCAGTGGGATAAATCTGTAAATATGATGGTTATGATGCCAAATATCCATATATAATTAAGGAGGGAATAAGTGGTTTGCTTCATCCACCCCTCTGAGGAATGGAAGTCGTAGTCTTTTTTTGCATTTTTCTTGTTTTTTTAATCTACAAATTATTTTTATTTTTGAGGGGAAAATTCTCCCAAAGTGACATGGTCACAAAGTTTTTTGTGATACAGAGTAAACCCTCTAGTTCTGATGAGTTGTTTTGAATTCTTTGTTCTCTTAATTGAGGGCATGGACTATAAATTAGTTTTTTTTTGATTCACAGTTGTGGCATAGGTTTTGTTAGTGTATTATAAAAGAAAGATTAGCAAATCTTAAAAGAAGGCAGTCTCAGAAAAAGTCTTCTTTTCACTGCTTATTAAGTCTTTTATTAGATGAGGAGACTGTCTCTGTTCTTAGGATACAGCTAATTTGGCTTACTTGTTAAAAGTGAAGCCAACACTTGAATCTATGATAACGTATGCAGTTACTGAATACATAGTACATTTTAGTGAATGATGGTTTACATATGTTATTGGAAAAACTATACTTACTTTGGTTTCATTTTCAGGGAAAGGCACTCCTAGGGGACATAAAATTAGTGATTACTTTGAGGTAAGTTAAATTTTTGGAAAAAAAAATCTATAGTGATTTTTACAAAACTAAATCCTTGCGTTCATTTAAGGCTTTAGAAAGCAGTATTTTGCCTTTCCTGTGCTCTCCTTCCCTTCCTCCCCATCTTCATCAGTCTGATGTTGCCCCATCTCTCTATTAAGAGGAAACTGCTGCTGACTTCCTAAATTTAAATTTGTTTATGATGTGTCTTGTCTGTGATGATATAAAAATTCACAAATGAGGTGATTTTTTTCTCTTGGCCAGACTAGGTTTCGGGTCTTACAAAGATTGGAATGGAGTGACTTGGACTCTTCTTTTGTCCTCTTCCCTTTAGTGCAGTGGGACACGTAGCGAGCTCACTGACCCATCGTCAGTGGTTCCTAAAGAAGACACTAACACCCACCATACCGCTGTATTCCTGCTTTCGGGTATTTTGAGACAAGAAGGGAAAACATTCTTCTCTGATGTCCTTTCAAAACCATGTGTACCTTCAGCTCTCTAGCCATGTTTTCTTTATATCTTGGTACATTTCTGCTGGAGCTCCCCCTTAAAATCTCATTGAAAAGATAGCAAAATTTGACTTACATGGCATTTTCTCTTTAGCATAAGATGTATTGACTTATTAAAGGGGCCATATAATTAAGACCTGTTTGTGTGTTAATCTTTTACTCTCCTTATCTGAAGCATAGTACTGTTTTGAATTATTCATATCCATTTCTCCCTGTTGGCCAGTTTGCTGGGGGAAGCGGGCCAGGAACCAGCCCTGGCAGAAGTGTTCCACCAGTTGCACGATCCTCACCGCAACATTCCTTATCCAATCCCTTACCGGTAAGCATTCACCTGGAGAAATTTGACACCTGTTGTAGGAGACAAGAAGCCCAGGAACACTCAAGCAGTTTCTCTTCCGTTAATCACCCAAGGGGAATGAGGCATTAAGGAGAAATATTCATAGTATTACCTGTGAACCACTTAGATTCAAGTCTGTATCCGTAAATTTATGTTTTACAAAGAGCTAACCCTATTTCTCAGTATAGTAAGTTATCTCTAAGCCTACAGCTCAGGGTCCTGTCAAGGCAATAATTGCCAGTTCAAATATTAGGCTTTTATCCTTGCCAAGCTTATATATTCCTATAATTGAATTCTGTTTTTTAAAAAAATTTGGTCAGCTCCTGGCATTTGATTGATTTTTCAAGGCTTTCTCAGTGATGTGGTAGAGAAGCTAATGTTACACAAATATGAGATAGGTTTGTTTCCTTTTTTTTTTTTTTTAAGATTTTTTATTTTTAAATAATCTCTACACCCAACGTGGGGCTTGAAGTCACAACCCTGAGATCAAGAGTCGCAGGCCCTACCAAATGAGCCAGCCAGCCCCCTCCCCCTCCCACCCCATTTTCCTTCCATTAAGTGAGAGTTGAAGGTCCTAAAAAACATTTTAGTCAGTTCAGTGGTTCTCAACTGGGGGTAATTTTGCCTCTCGGGACGTGGGGCAATGTTGGAGTAATTTTTTATCACAACTAGAGGATCAGAGGAGGGAGCTGTGGGCATCTAGTAGGCAGAGGCCAGAGATGCTGGTAAACATCTTAAAAGGTACACAACAGGCCTCACAATACAGTTACCTGCTCCAGATGTCAGTGGTGCCAAGGTTGCGACTCCCTGAGCTAGCTAGCGCATACGGGATTTTGTGTTAATTTACTTGCGTGTCTTGGGATAATTTGTTGATACTGTACAGGATCTTTGTACTCGAGAATATGTTCTGGCCGCTGATGCCTCAGGTATTGCTTTGGGATCTTGGAGAAAAGGGGTCTCCCTGAGATCAGTTTCTTTTTAGGAACATTGTTTGACTCTGCTGCCTCAGCAGAGTTGGGTAATAGTACTCTTTCCCTAAGTGAGTCTTCTGCGTTGAAGTATTGAGCATGCACTTCTTCCCCTCTTCTGTCTCATAAAGTCATGCATTCATTAGGATGACTACAATTATTAAAGCACTTAGGAAAATGTATTCAACTCGAAAATTTGGCTATTTTGTCATCCTTGTCATATTTAAACATGTTAGAAGTATTTAATGTGCAGAACTGTTTGGTTAGATTGAGGTTTTTTAGGTAACTGTCGAGGAGGCCTGTGTCTTTATTTTTCTTAATATATGTTTATTTATATAATTAAAAAAAATTTTTAAGTAATCTCTGCACCCAGTGTGGGGCTCAAATTTACGACCCCAGAGATCAAGAGTTGCTCCACTGACTGAGCCAGCCAGGTGCCGCTATTTTTCTTAACTTTAAAACCAGTTAAAGTATTTAAAATACTCCAACACAAAAAGGAAATATTACAGCTCCCCCTCCCCAAACCCCCTTATGCTCCCTGCCAGTTATTAGCCCCCTCCCTGCCATTGAGGGCAGGCACTATCCTGACTTCTAACGGCATAGATTTTTTTTTTTCTGTTTTTGTACTTTGTATGAAAGGAATCATACAATATGTAATCTTATGTCTGGCTGCTTTCATTCAACATTTCTTCTATGAGATGCATCCATATTGTATGTTGTTGTAGATCATTCACTGTCATTGGTGTGTGGTACAATTTTAATACTTTTATTTAATAACTATATTTTAATCTTCATATGGTTAATCTCTTGCCCATCTTCTTCTACTAGAATGTTAATCCTTGAGAGCAGGGACTTTGCTTTGTTGTTTATTGCTGTTTCCATCTCTCAGTATTTATTATATGAAGGTATACTTTTTTTTTTTTTTACTATTTCTTCGACTTGACATGAAGAGATAATATTTTGTTCAATTTTCAATCTCTGACACCCAAAAGAGTGCTTGGCACAAACGGCAGACGTTCAGAACTGTTGAAAGGAAAAATTGAGGGATAAAGAATTACTTTATCTTTTCTCCCCTAAGTGGTTCTTTTGTATTTTTTGTTGAAAACAAAAAAGGACCTAGAACATGAGCCTTTTAATGAAGGAGTTTGGTAAACTACAGCCCACAGCTGGCAAGCTAAAAATGACTTTTAGATTTTTCAAGAGTTGTAGAGACAAAGAAGAATATATTGCAGACATGGTATGTGGCCTAAAAAGCCTGAAATATTTGTCTGGCCCTTCACAAAAAAACATTTCCAGGAAATCATTATAAAATTAACTCCATGTAATCATTACTTAGGCCAAGAAGTAAAATATTTCCAGTACTCTGGAAACCTGTGTGCTCTTCTGATTACAACTCTCTCCCTCTACCCTGGAAACAACCAACCACTGTTCTAATTTTTGTGATTATAATTTGCTATTTCTTACAGTTTGACCATGTATGCATCCCTAAACAAAATAGTTTCATTTTGCCATTAAGTCAATTTTGTTAATTGTGGCATTTAATCACAGTGTTTAAATTTTCTATATTGTGATTTTGGGCTGTTTGTTCTAGCAATTACCAAGAGAGGTATATTCATATCTCTCATGGTTGTGGGAGTTGTTTGTTTCTTCCTGTATTTATATTTTTGCTTTGTGCATTATTAAGTGACTCTCTTCATTTCTTGCGATACTTTTTGCTCTAAATGCATTATATCTGATATTCAGTATATCCAAATCGTTGTATAGGTATTTCCATTTTTATACTATCAGCTTTTCATTATTATTTCATTATGTTTCAGTATACCTGAAAAATATATAGTTGAATTTTTTGTTTTTTCAGTCGAAATTATTTTTTTAACTTTAGCATCTATTTTATTTACTATATTGGGTTTAAATATACCATCTTTTAATGTGTTTTCTACTTACCCTGCATGTTCTCTGTTCCTTTTTCTTTCATTTCTTTTATTTGGGTCAGGTTTTTGGGGGGGTTGGGAATCATTTCCTGTTCTCATCCTCTGCTGGTAGCTAGGTCCTAGCCTGTGTTTCTCTGAGAAATTACCACATGTATCTTCATTTTGCCTGGGTTTGATGTTAGTAGTATCTTGATCCTCCTCTCAAAGGATGATGTCAGAACATTAACTCCATTTACTTGCAGCTAACTTGGTGGTGGTGGTATATGTTTGTATTTTTTGTTTTTAGCCTCATACAACATTATTTTATGCTGTCAGTGTTCATTTACCTCTTTCTTTGTACTTCTTTCCTTTTTGCATCTTACACCTTCCACCAGGGGTCACTTTCCCTCTGCTTGAAGTACTCCTTTAGTATTCTTTTATATGTATCTGCTGGGGAGTGAACTCTGTAGGTTTTTGTTTGTTTAAATAACTTTATTTTGCTTTTATCCTTGAAAGATATATTTTTTTAAATATTACTATTATTATTTTTTTTAGATTTTATTTATTTATTTGACAGAGAGAGACACAGCGAGAGAGGGAACACAAGCAGGGGGAGTGGGAGAGGGAGAAGCAGGCTCCCCGCCGAGCAGGGAGCCCGATGTGGGGCTCGATCCCAGGACCCTGGGATCATGACCTGAGCCGAAGGCAGACGCTTAATGACTGAGCCACCCAGGTGCCCCGAAAGATATTTTTGCTGTGTATATTAATTGGGCATTTTTATTTCTCTTAACGATCGAGCGTATTATTACCGTCTTCTGGCTTCCATTGTACTATTGAGAAAACAGTTTTCATTTACTTCTTATTTCTATGAAAGTATCTGTTCTTTTTTTCTCCTGGCTGCTTTAAAAATCTTTATCTGTGTTCTGTAGTTTCACTATGATGTGTCCTTTTATTTCTCTTGCTTGTGATTTGTTGGGCTTCTTTGTTGGGTCTTGTACCAGTTCTGGATAATTATTAGCCATTGTCTCTTCAGATACTATTTCTGCCCTGTTCTCTTTTTCTTCTTCCTGTGAAATTCCAATTAATTGTATGTTAGACCATCCCACCTTATCACCTTGCTTTTTAACTTTTTTCTATTTTCTTTTTGTCGCCATTTGCTCCATTTTGGATTGTTTCTTGCCTTCCAGTTCCAGATTCTCTGTTTTGTTGTATCTAATTTGCTGTTAACTCCACTGAATTCTTAATTTTTGTTATTTTATGTTCCCTGCTGATATTTTCAAGCTTATCTTCTCTTATTATTTTTTTGTAACCTAGTAGACCTTGTTTTATAATCTATTTGATAATTCTGGCATTTGAAGTTTTTGTGAATCTATTTGTTGTCTCTTTTATGAGTCTGTTTGTTTTTCCTAGCTGTTGCTCCGAGCTTTATTTCTTTTATGCTTCGTATTTTTTTTGAATGTGTGCTGTTCATTGTTCCTGAAATATTGTTTGTGAAATTTCTTTGAGATCTAAGACAAAGATGTGTTCCTCCAGGGAAAATTTTTATTTGCTTCTTCCAAGTGCCTAGAGATTTCACCCATCCAGTACTACTTTCAGCTACTGAATTTGTGGCTTTTATTTTGTTTGTTTGTTTCATCCACCCATTCAGTATTGATCTGGATTGTGTTAACATTTCTCAGGGGAGCTCCTGCCTCCTGCATTGCCAAGGCAACTTCCTTGTAGTTCCTTGAGGGTGGAGGAAATTTTTCTTCTGGTTTTCATTTTCCCTGAGAGTGTAACCTTTGGGAAGCCCTGGAAGATTGACATGTGAAGGGTTTCCTGTTGAACCCCTGCCCCCAGTGGACTTTGTTTGGCCAGTGATTATCTGCTTGGCACCATGTGCCCTGGAAATAGAGATTCAAGATCTGCAGGTACCCTTAGGGCAGATGTGACTTTGGTACTTCATTTATGTGTCTTGTGTTCCTGTTTCCCTTAGTTTTGCCCTGGCAGATCCCTACTATTTTATCAACTCTTCAGTGCTTTTAGTATCTTTTTTTTCTTATTTTGCCCTATTTTTATGATTATCTTATCCTGGCCTGCTGTATTTCCAGAAATACTCAAAAGTCTTTCAGCCCTTGGCAAATACTTATTGAGTACATAACAGAATGATTAATTTTATTTTTTTATTTATTTATTTTTTTAAAGATTTATTTATGTGAGAGAGTGAGAATGAGAGAGAGAGAGAACATGAGAGGGGGTAGGGTGACAGGGAGAAGCAGGCTCCCCGCTGAGCAGGGAGCCCGATGCGGGACTCGATCCCGGGAGTCCGGGATCATGACCTGAGCCGAAGGCAGTCGCTTAACCAACTGAGCCACCCAGGCGCCCCAGAATGATTAATTTTAGTATCGTGGCTTCGGAGTTGCAGTCTCCCAGGTAGTGCAAATATCGTTGTGACTGGGTATCACGAATGCTCTGGAACCTGAATTTAAATAATTGCATTTGGTTGGGGTAGGAGCATTGGTCTCAAGGAGGTGGATTCTGCTTACAGATTAAAAAACTAAATTCCTTTGTTGGGATTATTTTGGTTAGTTTATTTTACTTTTATTTTCTGAAAGGAAAATGGTAAGACGTTTTCCTGATGAAAGGATACATGCTGACTATGAAAGTCCAACTCAGAAGTGGTAAAATAGAAAGTCTCCTCCAGAAGAACTATTATTAAAGAGTTTAGTGGGCATAAACATATACATGTATGCTCTCATATAATAGATTTTCTCATTTCTGTTGTTTATTTATTTATTTAACCAATATCCTGTAAACACTTTTGTGTCCTATAAATAGCACTGTAATGAATGTCCTTGTATATAGATCTGTACTTAGGCATTGCTTTGCCTTTGGATAAATTTCCAAACTATAATTTCTGAGTCAAAGAATATGCTTACTTTAAAATGTCATCACTTAATTGCTAGCGGGTTATCAGCAGTTTGTGGGTCCCAGTTTCTGCGTACCCTCCTCTAATACTAAAGCTTAGCTTTGTAGTCTTTGTCAGTGAGAAGAATACCTTGTTTTACCTTGCATTTCTTCATTAGTGATATTAAACATCTTAAGTTTAATGGCCTTTTGGATTTCTCTTTTAATGCTTATTTAGTCTCTTTGCCATTTATTTATTGGAGTATTTGTTTTTTTCTTCCTGATGAGTAGGAACACATTATTTTTTAAGATTGTTAACTCATTGTCATTTATATGGTAAACATTTTTGCCTGGTTGAGTTTTATCTTTTAACTTCATGTTGACTTTTGCCATTTGGGTAAAAAAATTTGGAGTCAAATTTATCAGTGTTTTTCCTTTATGCCTTAGTGGTTTTGTGTTATTCTAAGATGGTCCTATATGGTTTATATTTTTAATGTCATGCCTAAAAAATCCTTCACCACTAGAAAGTCATAAAAATACTTGTTTATATTTTCTTGTAATTTTTATGTATAAGGAAGCAGTCTACTTTTCCCTTTTTTCTTACACCTACACAAATATCCTACCATCTTTTTAATAAGTTCCCACTAATCTGAAATACACTTTAGTCGCAAATTATATATCCATATTATAGGGGTCTGCTTCTGAGTTTTTTATTCCGTGCCACTGATTGATGGGTCTGCTCATGTACCAGTATTATACCAATATAGTTATGTTGTTTTGTAGTATGTTTTAATAACCAGTCAGGTTTCCCTGCTATTCTTTATCAAAACTTACGTTGCTAATCTTGACTATTTTTCCATGTGAACCTCGATTACTGTGTGAAATTCCACAAAAACAACCCCCCAAAAGAAAGCAAGAGTTAACCTCTGTGATCACTGCACCACCATAACACTCTCTCTCGCAGAAAAAGAAAAAGTAAACAAGAAGCCTTTGAGCATTGGCTTTTAGAAAACTTTGACTTTTATAAAACTTGAACGCAGGAGCATGGTGTCATTACGTAGGTCATGTTTTACATCTGTCATTGAAGCTGTGGTGTTTCTTTATAGGCAGCCCCCATATTTCTTAAGTTCTAAACTTATTTCTATTTTATAGATTTTTAAAAATTTTGAATCTGCTTTTTCTTCCATTACATATTCTGATAATAATAAATTATTTGTCTATGGGGTAGCTATTGGTTTTTGTATGTTTACTTTATATTCAACCATTTACCAAACTCTTGTTTGTTGTTTTTCAGTTGATTTGCTTAGTTTCCTTTGTGAATAGTTATATCATCCAAAAATGACACTTTTTAATCTTTTTAATATTTTCCAGTGTTTATACCTCATTTTCCTACCCTTATCATATTGGCTAAAACTTCTATAATAATGTTGAGATGATTGTGATATTAATATGTTATCCCCTGTCTAGTTTTCCTGACTTTGATGAAAGTGTCTCTGGTATGGCACCATTGATTTATGTTGATTTCTGAAAAAATACTCTTGTTGTATTAAAGATGGATAACTTCCAGTGTTTTTTGTTTTTGTTTTTTAAGAGTTGCCCAACAATGTGCAAATCCTTTTTGACATCTAAAGGGAAGAATCTTGATTCCCCTTCCCCCACCATTAATGTACTGAATTAATCAGTAGATTTGCTAATAATGAACTATTTTTACATTTCTGGAATAAACCATACAGTTGTGTTATATTATTTTTTTAGTGTTTTGTGGAACTTGTTTTGCTTGTATTTATTTTCGATTTTTGCATCTAAGAATAGTACAGTGAGGATAGAATTGAGAGTGAAGTAAATTCTGCCTGTAAATTCAGGGACAAATGTCTTAATCTTCGTTTACCTACAGGATAGAAATAACATTTCTTTTGTAGGTTTGAGGCTATTTTGAAGTTGATTTGTTGAACTCTACAAAGTAAACTGCAAATGCCGTTACGCAGATATAGAACAATGAAGATATAATTTTCCAGAACTCGAGTAAGATACTAACTCAGATTTATAGATAGGTTATAATCCATGATGCTCTTATTATGCTTTCCACATTTGTTTTCAGAAAAGGTGTTTTTCAAAACTACCCTTATTTTTGATAACCGTGTTTTAATCTGTTAGACGTTTTGGCAAGTTTCAGGTTTTCTTTCTCACATAAAGTGTGTGTTTTCACTCATGTCTTCCAGCGGCGAGTAGAACAGCCCCTGTACGGCTTAGATGGAGCTGCAAAGGAGGTGCCGGAGGAGCAGTCGGCGCTGCCCACCCTCATGTCAGTGATGCTGGCAAAACCTCGGCTCGACACCGAGCAGTTGGCTCAGAGGGGCGCTGGCCTCTGCTTCACGTTCGTTTCAGTGAGTACCGAAGCCGAGCTGCTTGCAGATCTTTATTGCCCTGGAGCCCCTTGATGAAGTTTGAGGAATTACTTTGGTGAAGAGATGATGACATCTCTAACTATGTGACTTCTAAAGGTAGTAGTGTGGTTTTACCCCGTCTCCCTTGGTACAAGGGGGCTGAGGGAGACTGCTTTCCTTAAGTCTGAGCACATTAGGGGTGCCTGGGGGGCTCAGTCGGTTGGCTGTCTGACTCTGGTTTCGGCTCAGGTCATGATTTCAGGGTCGTGGGATCGAGCCCCATGTTGGGCTTTGCACTCAGCGCTCAGCCTGCTTGCCCCTCTTTCTCCTCCTTATAGGTGCTCGCTCGCTCTCTCAGATAAATAAATAAAATCTTTTTTTTTCTTTTTAAAGAAGCAGATAAACCTTTAAAAAAAAAAAAAAGTCCAAGTACATCAAGGGAAAGAAAATACGGTTTTAGGTTGACAGAGAAGTAAAGGACGTGCAGATCAAATTCCATTACAGCCAAAGTATGTGTCTAACTAAAAAAAAAAAACTCTCCAAACTCCAGGCGTCACTTATTTGAAGCAGTATTGAGGTCAGTAAAAATTTAGCACATAGGCAGGCATTCTGTAGCATGTTTGCCAGTCATTTCCCCTCTGTGGTATTTGGGTGACCTGTATGCTTGCCTTTTCTCACCTCTTCACAGTTACTTTTTCCAGGAGTATTTGGTTACCCGTTGGTTGCTTTCTCTCTCTCCTTGAAGAACCAAGAATTTGAGTATTATGAAAATTTGACCCCATCTGTATTTGCCAAATTATAATGCAGTTTGACTCAAAAGTTGTTTTTTTTGTTTTGTTTTGTTTTGTTTTTTGGTTTCTCTGCCCAACTATGGGTGGTGTAAGGCAAAAGAAAGCCCCATTGCCCTGTTTTTCCATTCAGAGCTTCCATTATGTGCCCTTGCCCATTCTTCCATTCAGAGCTGACGTCACCACCGATCCAAACTCTTTCTCTTCTGCTGGTTCATTTTCTTCACTTACAACCTAAATTTCCTCTTACTCGCTTTGTGGATTCTGAGTCATTAATCCACATGCAGCTGTGTATTCAAAAAGGCCATGAGAACAGTGGGTCCCTTAAGGAAAGGAAATAAAAATTATGAAATAATTAGATAGGGAGCCATTGTGCACCATTTGGAATACTTTCCTACGGTTATTGCTTTTCCTCAAGAAAGAAATATTACAACTTTTAAACTTACAGAATTTTTTAATTATCAAAAGAATGGAGAGACTTCTTGTGTGAAGGCAGTATAATTTTACCTGTGGGTGGCAAAAGAAACACAACATAAAATGGGAGAATTGACCAGTATAATCCTCTGGGTGGGCCTAACAGCAGTATGCCATAGTTTGTATGAGAATGTCGTGGTTCTCTGTGGTATTGTTCTAGAGAATGTGTCTCTGTGTGTATATATAAATTACATTGTGTGGGGGCGCCTGGGTGGCTCAGTCGGTTGAGCGACTGCCTTCGGCTCAGGTCATGATCAGGATCGAGTCCCACATCAGGCTCCCTGCTCAGCGGGGAGTCTGCTTCTCCCTCTGACCCTCCCCCCTCTCATGCTCTCTCTCTCTCTCATTCTCTCTCTCAAATAAATAAATAAAATCTTTAAAAAAAAATAAATTACATTGGGTGTTTACTATTCACTATTAAATCTTCATCTTAGATCTAACTTTCTCAGGCAAAACTTGGATAATCAGAGGTTTATTTGTCCTTACGTTCTTTTATTGCCTTAAAAGCTACCTCCATTTCCCCTGAGGGGAGTTCCCTTTATTCATTGCACAAATACTTAACTGAATGCCCACTCTGTGACAGGCATATAATTAAGTACACAAGAGTGGCGCCTGGGTGGCTCAGTCAGTTAAGCGTCTGCCTTTGGCTCAGGTCATGATCTCGGGGTCCTGGGATTGAGCCCCACATCAGGCTTCCTGCTCAGCGAGGAGTCTGCTTCTCCCTCAGCCTCTGCCTTTCCCCACCGCTTGTGTTCTCTCTCTTTCTCTCTCTCACTCTCTCTTGCTTTCTCAAATAAATAAAATGTTTAAGAAAAAAAAAAGTACACAGGATTTTGATCAACAAAACTCAGTCCCCTAATGTGAGCGAGCCTTCCATAAAATGTATGGGCATGCAGGCTTGGGATGGGTGCACATGGATAACCACCTGCTCAGTCCTATCAGCTAGTACACTCAGGCTGTCAGAGGAGTTGCAGATGCTACAGCCAGATTGTTCTCATGTAGAAGAAAGATGGCAGAGAATAGTAAGAAAATGAACATGTCCGTAGAAGGAACAGGGAGATGGTACGAAAAGCAAAGGCCTAAATGGTTTGGTACAGTTCTGAATCTCTTTGATTCTCTGTAGTTCCAGCCAGGATATAAGCTTAGTAATACAGAGAAAGAAGAAAGCAAAAGAGTTAACATTAATGTATAAGAAATGCTTTGAATTAATAAAGATAAGCAGTTTCCCAAAAAATAGGCAAAGGCCATCAGCTGACAGTTTTACAGGGCGGGAAATAAGACAAATGACGAATAACATGAAAAATGCTTAACTTTAGCCATGGAGAAGTGTAGAATATAACAAGGTAACACTTTTGACCTATCAAAGTGTCAAGGATTGTTTCATTTGATAACTCTCAGTGTAGGTTATAGTTTAGACACACATGCAAGTTTTATACTGACTCTGAGTTGGTACAGTCACTTGGACATAGCTGAGTGTTAATGTAGCTGAGTGTTAAATTTACATATCCTGGGGTCCAGAAACTGCATTCCCATAAAACTATACAAAGATGTTTATTGTTTATAATTGCAGAAATCGGAAGCATTTTCCCTTCACCAGTGTTTCAAACGAACTTGGAACGAGGGTATCTGTGACCTCCACACTGCTAACCCCAGTGATCATTCTCAGAACTTACTGTCTAGGATGATTCATAAGCCACAGTTGATGACTCCCTTCTCCAAGCACATGTTCTTCTCTTGGCTTCCATTCTTCTGGTTCTTCCTCATTTCCCAGACCACTGAATAGTGGAGTGCCCCTGAGCTCCGGCTTAAGACTTTTGTCTACCTTTATTCTCTATGTAATCTCATTTAGTTTCTTTGCTTTAATTATCACCCATATGCAGAGCATTTCCAAGTTTGTATCTCCAGCCCAGAGCCCTGCCCTGAATTCCAAACCTGTATAGTCAGTTGGTACTAGTCTTCTCTTTATGTCTTTTTTTTTTTTTTAAGATTTCATTTATTTATTTGACAGAGAGAGAGAACGAGCGCACGAGCAGGGGGAGCAGCAGAGGGAGAGGAAGAAGCAGGCTCCCCACTGAACAGAGAGCCCAATGTGGAGCTTGATCCCAGGACTCTGGGATCAATACCTGAGCCGAAGGCAGACTCTTAACCAACTGAGCCACCCAGGCGCCCCTCTTTATGTCTAATAAGCATATCAAATCTAGTATGTCCAAAACTGAATTCTTCATTTTGTCCCCTTGCTCCAAACCCATTTCTTCCATAGTCTACCACATCTCAGTAACTGTCAACTCTCCTTCTAATTGTTTAAAAACCATGGAGTCATTCTTGTCTCTTTTATTTTATATCCCAATTACAAATCCATCAGCAAATCTTCCTGTTGAGAATATGTCCAGAATCCTACCGCTTCTTTTATTTATTTATTTATTTATTTATTTATTTATTTATTTATTTATTTCATTTATTTATTTATATGAGAGAGAGAGAGCACGAGAGGGAAGAGGGCCAGAGGGAGAAGCAGATTCCCCGCCGAGCAGGGAGCCCGATGCGGGACTCGATCCCGGGTCTCTGGGATCATGACCTGAGCCGAAGGCAGTCGCCTAACCGACTGAGCCACCCAGGCGCCCAGAATCCTACCGCTTCTAACCCCTTCACTACTACTTGAACTAAACCATGTTCTCCCACTGAAGTTACGGTACTAGCCTCTCAGCTGGATTCTTTTCTCCGACTTGTGTTTCCTTTTAATTTGTTCTCAACAGATCAGAGTGATGCAGTCATGCCTGCTCAAAGGTGCTGAAAATGGCACATAAAGCCTTGCATGGGCTGTTTCTCCCCATTGTGCCATCTCTTACTGCCCTCTCCTTCCCCTGCCGGATTCCATCTACACTGGTTACCTTGCCTCCTCAAATGCTACGTGGCATGTTCTCACCTCAGGGCCTTTGCACTTCGTGTTGCCTATGCCTTAACATTCTTCTCCCACATAGTAAGTAATCATGCCCTGTTCCCTCAGTTCTCTAGTCTCTGCTTCAGTTTACCCTGTTAGAAAGGCATACCCTAACTGTACTGTAGAAAAGAGCAACTCCTCCCTGCCCACCCCACACAGTGTCTAGCTCCTATGTCCTACTGTTTCTCCTTAGTCTTATCTCCAGCTGACCTGCTATAATTTACTTCTTTGTCTGAACCCCCTCCCCCGCCGTGTAAACTCATCAGGTCAAGGACTTTGTTCACTTTTGTATCTCCAATGACAGAACAGATCTTCTCTAACAGAAACCTGGGGCAATTCTATGTTGCATGAATTGATAAGACATCCTTCACATAGGTCTAGTGGAATGCTACACAGTTGACAGAAGTGAGATAGGTATATATAGTTTTGGTTTTTTTTTTTAAGATTTTATTTAAGAGAGAGTGTGTTCCCATGAGTGGGGCGGGGCATGTGGAATAAGAGAGTGAGGGAGAAGCAGACTCCCCACCGAGCAGGAAGCCTGATAGAGGGCTCAATCCCAGAACCCAGAGATCATGACCTAAGCCAAAGGCAGATCCTTAGCCAACTGAGCCACCCAGGCGCCCCTAGGTATATATAGCTGACCCTTGAACGACACGGGGTTGGGGCATCAGTATCCATGCAGTCAAAAATCATGCAGTATAATTTTTGACTCCCTAAAACTTAACTCCTAAAACTTAATTACTAATAGCCTACTGTTGACCAGAAACCTTACTGATAACATAAACAGCTGGTCAACACAT